TACGGGTGGCCGTGATGTAAGGTGCAGGGTACGGGTGGCCGTGATGTAAGGTGCAGGGTACGGGGGGGCGTGATATAGGGTGCAGGGTACGGATGGCCGTGATGTAAGGTGCAGGGTACGGATGGCCGTGATGTAAGGTGCAGGGTACGGATGGCCGTGATGTAAGGTTCAGGGTACGGGTGGCCGTGATGTAAGGTGCAGGGTACGGATGGCCGTGATGTAGGGTGCAGGGTACCGGTGGCCGTGATGTAAGGTGCAGGGTACGGGGCGCCGTGATGTAAGCTGCAGGGTACGGATGGCTGTGATGTAAGGTGCAGGGTACGGGTGGCCGTGATGTAAGGTGCAGGGTACGGATGGCCGTGATGTAAGGTTCTGGGTACGGATGGCCGTGATGTAAGGTTCTGGGTAAGGATGGCCGTGATGTAAGGTTCTGGGTACGGATGGCCGTGATGTAAGGTGCAGGGTACGGATGGCCATTATGTTGGGCTCAGGGTATGGATGGCCGTGATGTAAGGTTCTGGGTACGGATGGCCGTGATGTAAGGTGCAGGGTACGGATGGCCGTGATGTAGGGCGCAGGGTACGGATGGCCGTGATGTAAGGTTCAGGGTACGGGTGGCCGTGATGTAAGGTGCAGGGTACGGGGGGGGCGTGATATAGGGTGCAGGGTACGGATGGCCGTGATGTAAGGTTCAGGGTACGGGTGGCCGTGATGTAAGGTGCAGGGTACGGGTGGCCGTGATGTAAGCTGCAGGGTACGGGGGGGGGGGCGTGATATTGGGTGCAGGGTACGGATGGCCGTGATGTAAGGTGCAGGGTACGGATGGCCGTGATGTAAGGTGCAGGGTACGGGGGGGCGTGATGTAAGGTTCTGGGTACGGATGGCCGTGATGTAAGGTTCTGGGTAAGGATGGCCGTGATGTAAGGTTCAGGGTACGGATGGCCGTGATGTAAGGTGCAGGGTACGGATGGCCGTGATGTAAGGTGCAGGGTACGGATGGCCGTGATGTAAGGTTCAGGGTACGGGTGGCCGTGATGTAAGGTGCAGGGTACGGATGGCCGTGATGTAGGGTGCAGGGTACGGGTGGCCGTGATGTAAGGTGCAGGGTACGGGGCGCCGTGATGTAAGCTGCAGGGTACGGATGGCTGTGATGTAAGGTGCAGGGTACGGGTGGCCGTGATGTAAGGTGCAGGGTACGGATGGCCGTGATGTAAGGTTCTGGGTACGGATGGCCGTGATGTAAGGTGCAGGGTACGGATGGCCGTGATGTAAGCTGCAGGGTACGGATGGCTGTGATGTAAGGTGCAGGGTACGGGTGGCCGTGATGTAAGGTGCAGGGTACGGATGGCCGTGATGTAAGGTTCTGGGTACGGATGGCCGTGATGTAAGGTTCTGGGTAAGGATGGCCGTGATGTAAGGTTCTGGGTACGGGTGGCCGTGATGTAAGGTTCAGGGTACGGGTGGCCGTGATGTAAGGTGCAGGGTACGGATGGCCGTGATATAGGGTGCAGGGTACGGATGGCCGTGATGTAAGGTGCAGGGTACGGATGGCCGTGATGTAGGGTGCAGGGTACGGGTGGCCGTGATGTAAGGTGCAGGGTACGGGGCGCCGTGATGTAAGCTGCAGGGTACGGATGGCTGTGATGTAAGGTGCAGGGTACGGGTGGCCGTGATGTAAGGTGCAGGGTACGGATGGCCGTGATGTAAGGTTCTGGGTACGGATGGCCGTGATGTAAGGTTCTGGGTACGGATGGCCGTGATGTAAGGTTCTGGGTACGGATGGCCGTGATGTAAGGTTCAGGGTACGGGTGGCCGTGATGTAAGGTGCAGGGTATGGATGGCCGTGATGTAAGGTTCAGGGTACGGATGGCCGTGATGTAAGGTGCAGGGTACGGATGGCCGTGATGTAAGGTTCAGGGTACGGGTGGCCGTGATGTAAGGTTCAGGGTACGGGTGGCCGTGATGTAAGGTGCAGGGTACGGGTGGCTGTGATGTAAGGAGCAGGGTACGGATGGCCGTGATGTAAGGTGCAGGGTACGGATGGCCGTGATGTAAGGCGCAGGGTACGGATGGCCGTGATGTAAGGAGCAGGGTACGGGTGACAGTCAGTGATGTTCACCTGTCTCCAGGCTATGTGTTTGGCCACCGCTTCCACACTGTAAAAAATTACCGTAGATTTCACGGTAGAAATCATGTGAAATAGATACAGAGGTGCACCGTTACTGGTTTAACGGTTCGTAGAATGTTACCTGGTCATTCTAACGGTACAATACCGTCAAGTGCTGCATGATGGGAATGTATCCGGGTCTTCAACGTCGAAGCCGCCATTGTTTAGTTGTCTTCTAGGAAGTTCTTGGAGCATTCATTGTGGCTTTGTAAGTGTATCAAGGTATAATCTGTGTACAAATGATGTCAAACGGTCACAAAACATGCGCTGTATCTTTCTAGCGCTTGTCTGCATCGTTGTCTTTCATATACACCCCTCGCTCTCTTATTGTTACGTTAGGCCCGCTTATTTCCCACCCACGGGGTATCGTAATGTGAACCAGCATGGGGCGTGCAAACACTTTCAAATAAAAATGTATGAGTGTAATCATTGTTCGTTTAGTGCGTCGAAATTAGCAAAGTACGTTTCACATTATAAATTTCACAGAAATTTGCCAAATATTGTATATCCATGTTGCATTGAAACATGCAGCGAAAAATTCGCAACCTACTCTGCTTTCAAATCACATGCACAAAGGAAACATGTGGCTAGGACAGTTACTAACTTAACTGAAGATCGTAGCACATTCAGTGGCGGTCAAATTAATGATAAATCTAATGGAGAGGTACAGACTAGATGCAGTCAAAATGGTCAGGGTAGTGTATCATTACAGTGTGGCAAAAAAGATTGCTCTAAGTTCTTCGAGAGGACCCCCTTGCTTATTGCTCATCTAAAACTGCACATCGAGCGTCATGAGGAAATAGAATGTCCAGTTCAAAGTTGCAAATCTAGATTTGTCAAGAAAACCTCTTTCTCTTCTCATTTGTCACGTAAACATGCAAGTTTGAAAGAGAACTGGTCAGGTTTAAAATGCTGTCCTGATGAATTGCATACAAACGCGAGTCAATCGGAGGGAATAGATCTAGGAACAGATTCTGAAAGCTTAAATGATTTGCATTCACCTGTCCCTATGAATACTGAATTGTCTCAGGAAACTGTCGGCCAAGATGATTTTGATGTTTCAGAAGAAACAAACTCAGAATTTCTGAAGTGCCTGGCCACATTCTACTTAAAACTTCAAAGCAAATATTTATTGCCAGTTTCTCTAATACAAAATATTATAACTGAATTTGAATCTATGCATGAAATCAGTATTAACATCATGACAAAGTGTTTGGGCAGAAAGATGAGGGAAAAGAACATAGACATAGATGTGATAAACAGTGTTATGCATGAAATGTCTGAGACTGATCCATTTTCTTCCTGCAACAATGGGCCTTTGAGGACTGCACATCGTAGAAATTCCTTCTACAGAAACAATTTTGCCCTCAATGAAGCAAAAGAAGTATTCCTTACTGTTGATGACAACGGTAAAACACTGTCATACCAGTTTGTACCTGTTAGTGAATCCATTGCTACACTTTTTCATCATTACAAGCCCCACTTTACATTTCATAGAAATACAGATAGTAATGGTTCTAACAGAAATATCCTGTATGATGTACAAGATGGAAATGTGTTCAGAAGAAATCAACTCTTTGCTAGCTGTGACAAAGTGTTTGAAATAATATTATTTCAAGATGCCTTTGAGGTGGTGAATCCCCTTGGTTCTGCCAAGAAAAAGCATAAGTTGTTAGGGGTTTATTTCAACCTTGCTAATTTTGATGCCAGTCTGAGATCAAATGTTGACCATATGCAATTGGTTCTTCTTTGCAAAGAACGTGACTTGAAACATGTTGGGAAAGATAAAATCTTTGAGGAACTTGTAAATGATCTAAAGAATATTGAATCACATGGCATTACTGTGGGTGAGGAAAACATAAAGGGAGCCCTTGTGGCTATAGTAGGTGATAACCTTGGTTCACATATGATAGGTGGCTTCCTTGAAAGTTTCACAGCTACACACTTCTGCAGGTACTGTGATATTGATCAGGGTCAGTTCAGAGCTTCAGATATCCTTGAAAGAGGTACTTTTCGTACTGTCCAAAGTTACAATGATTCTCTTGCTGCTTTGAATCAGGATGGGGGAAGAGATTCAGTTTGTGGTATCAAGTCCAATAGTATTTTCAATTCTTTAGCCTTCTTTCATGTTGCAAGCCCAGGCTTGCCACCTTGCCTCGGTCATGACTTGTTTGAAGGAGTTGTGTGTTATGATCTTCCTCTGATGTTGCACTACTTCGTTTCCTTGAGCTGGTTTACTTACTTAAAGCTAGGGAGATTAATGGAAAGATTTCTTTTTATTGGATCAGATGCTTTAGACAAGCCACCACCAATTTTCACTAAAAGTGATAAAATAGGTGGTCATGCGGTTCAGAACTGGGTTTTTCTCAGGTTATTGCCACTGATCATTGGTAAATATGTTGATGTACATGATAAAGTGTGGCAACTTTATCTTTGTCTGAAAGAAATAGTTGAGTATGCTTGTTCACCACAAATCAGTTTCGCCCAAGTGGCGTATTTGAATGTGAAGATTGAGGAATATCTGTATGGTAGAAAAACATGTTTTCCAGATGTTCCACTTCGACCAAAACACCATTATCTTGCCCACTATTCAGAGTTAATACTAGAGTTTGGACCGCTAATTCACCTTTGGACTTTGCGGTTTGAAAGTAAACATACTTATTTCAAACAGTGTGCAAAGAAGTTGCACAATTACAAGCATATTTGTAAGACTCTTGCATGTAGACACCAGCTGTTGCAAGCTTTATACTCCTGTGGGTCCTTGTTCCCACCAGAAATTACGTTCAGCGACACTGTTCCATTTGAAGTTAATCTTTTTAGCCCTGACATTCAGTCATGTGTTAAGGGATTAAATTTCAGCAGGATAGACACTCAAATGACTATGAAAGTAAAGTTTAGAGGTCACTGGTATAAACCAGGCACTGTATTCATTCTTGATAAGAACTCAGATGGTTTAGTACTTGGTGAAGTAATGTTTATGCTGTCTAAAGAAAAAACATTGTATTTTGTGCTCAACAGATTTCAGACACTTTGGTTGAGTGATTATGGCCTGTATGCTTTCAAAATCCACTCTGAACATCCTAACTCCCAGGTTTACTGCTATACACCTAGAGAAATATTGGACATCAACCCACTGCCTGTATACATAGTGGACGGTGTGAAATACATCTCTCTTCAGAGAGCAGTCTGCTGTATCTGAGTACATGGATTATGGAACCCAGCAACAAAGGTAACAGTGCTGTAACCTACATTCATTTCACCTTCTCTTGACCATTCAGGGATTGAACATCCTTCACTTCACTGGATTGTCAAAGATAATGACAATGTGGACAGTAATTCACTGTAATGTTTAACTCAATGAAATGAACATTGCCATGCCTTTGTTTGTAACGACAATATACCAAAGAAGCAATAATTTCACCATACTAAAAATTAAAAATGTTAAAGCACTGCAACACTCATTTCATCACATTAAATGTTACAACTATTTTAAAAAAACACTTTAATTTCATATATTTAACTTGCAGGTTGTTTGGGAAGAATGGACTGAAAAACTAAACAGCATGGAGCTTGCTGGAGCTTTTGTGTTTTTTTCATATGTAGAATTTGACAAATTTGTTAGACATATTCTGTCAAGGATACAAGTACTACCAACAAATGTTCTAGCGAAAGTTATTTCTGGTCGCTATCTTTTGATAATTTTTCCAGCAAAACATTTATTCACAGCTGCCTATCATCTGTTGTGTAACAGCTTTCCTGATATCAAGTGCATTGTGTATCATTCACCGTTGCCGGGTTTTATACTTGATGCTGCCTTCAGATTCCAAAACAGGTGCATAAACTGATAATGATTGGTACTAAACCACCACAATACTTACATATTTTGGTCAGAAAACAACTAAAGGAGATTTCCAAAATTTTCATGACAAACACTCAATTATGATCGCCTGTTTAACTTTAAATAACTTTTTCTTAACAAGGGTGTTGCCTGTTAATACTAAGACTAGTATGTTTGATATTTTCTCAGTCAAACATATATCATCATACAGGCTAGATGTTCTTAAAAATATATACGTTCCTATTATTCCTATTACATTCCTATTATTGATTATGGACAGTCATACTCGATCATTGCATCGGATTAGGGAAACGGATCAGTTTTTGATTATAATCGATCATCAGCACATCACTACTTTGTATTGTAATGCATATGTAAATACAGTAAAAACCCTAATTCATTACACCGTACATTTTGATAACTAAATGTGTCAACTCTTAACTTAAACTTTAGTGACACATGTTATATGACAGCAAGTGACTATTTATTAGTCGTCGGTATGTCCGTCTATCCGTCTGTAATAATTATGTCCGGAGCATATATCCTAAACCATAGCTTCACAAAACTTGGTACACTCATTAATCAGGTTGAGTACTCATGGTTCTAGTGCCTTTTGCTTTTCAGATATTTTTAAAGTTTGTACTTTAGTTGTTTCCATGGAAACATGATGAACTCAGGAAATTTGAGAATAGTGTCCTTGTCCGGATCAAACCTCCATGGTAACTTAATTCAGTTTGGAAATTTTAGGGGTACCAAAGTATGCTCAGTTTACTGACATGCCACGTCAGGGGGATATGTCATCATCAGATGACTCTTGTTGTCATTGTCAATGTCATTGTTATTTCAAACCAAAACTAAACTGTCCTTATATGTTTGGCAGTATCTGGTATGGAGGAAATCAAAAGAAAATTGAGGACAACGCTGCCCTCTCTGGATGACCTAGCTGTGAGGGTTTTGTTAGAGAAGCTTGACAGCCTTGGGGTGGAGAATTTGGCGGATCTTGGCCTTCTTCAGTATGAAGACTTGAGTGATGTGTTAAAACCAGTACAGATCAGGAAGCTGTTGAGGCAGGAATGCTGTGCAGGTACATGTACTTTACTTTGACCACTTTTCAAATATGATAATTGTCTATAGTTTTAACAATCCAAGGCCAGCCGATTGAACTGGGCATACGTGTGTGTTCAGGGGAGTTGTTTCTAACATGATATAGTAATTAGTGCTGGAGCAATCAATCGATCAATCTGTGCATGCAAAACGATTATCAACTGCTGTACAGACTAATCGATTATCAAATTAAATATTACCTGATGTACTTTTCATCTAAAAAACATGAAAAAAGCAACTAGAAGATTTTTTTCTCCATTTAGTATTTACAACACGGTACTCGATAGGAAGTGGTTAATGGATTTGTTTGTTTACTGAATCACATGTTATCATGTGCAGTTTTGATGTGTATAAGCATAATAATTAAGTGATTATTAATCGATCTGAGACCACTGATTATCAATCTATAGCACTAATAGTAATTGAAGAAATGTTATTGCATTATATTGTGTGATATTTTTAGGTGAGGTGAGGTGAAATTGGGTTTAACGTCGCGTCCAAGATTATTGCACTTATATAGCGACGTGCATGCACGTGTATGTGTGTGTGTGGCTGCTTGTACTAGTCCGGACTGATGCCGATTTATAGTGCTAGCTCACTGAGATACCATGCCGCAGTTTAACATGAATACCCCACTCAGACACAGTATACTGACTCCGAGCCGACCAGTCCTTGTTTTAGCCCCTCAATGCCGAGCGCCAGACAGGGTAACAACAAGTACAATCTTTTAACGTCTTTTTGTATGACGCGGCCCGGGATCGAACCCTGGACCTTCCGATCTCCGGGCGGACGCTCTACCACAAGACCACGGATATTTTTAGGGGACTGCACAGAATATATCTTTGCCCTTAACTATTCGATTAGCAGTGCTTTGGGGATAAAATAGTTTCACGAAGCTACAAAAGTTCAAGAACAAGATTGGTTTTCTTTCTTGACAATTATTAGTAACAAACCTTTTTTATTGTACATACAGACGCTTCAACAGCTTCAACAAGTGGCCAAGCATCATCACAGAGTTCTTGTCCTACAAGCCCAGAATCTGTGGGATCAGTCATTACTCCACGTCCTATCCATATTTTCCGTGACTCATGTAATCAGAATCCAAACTGGGCAATGACTCTGCAGTTGCCATGGGAGGAACTGCCTGACATAGTGACACTACTTGAGCAAGGGAAGCGGCTCCCACAACCCCTTAGATACACTCTAGTGAGATCTGTGACTGATAGAGTGCGGACCAAGACACACAAAGCTACAAAGCGCCAGTTTGGTATAATAGCCCAACGTATGGTGTCAAAGTACCCATCTTCTCTTCAAGATAAAATTGACAACCTTATAATTGGCACTGGGTATGATTCCATTCAGGCACAACTAGTTTCCAGAAATGAAAACCTGAACAGGCCAAAGGACTCAGCTCTTACCTTGAGGAGAAGATCTGCCTCCAGTGAAGGAGAAGATGACAAGGTTTCTAAAGTGCCACCTAAGAGAAAAATGGCAACCGATTCGTATGGATGTGTGAATTGGGAACCTGTTGTGAATGACGATCAACTTCCTGATCTTGAGGATAAAAAGAAGAAACTCCAAGACCTACACAAATGTGACCCCAAGGATTATGATTGGAGCAGGATAGAAACATTAATGAAGGAAACGTTTCCTTTACAGAGACATTGTATTAACTACTCTGTTTTGGATGAAACTCTAACAAAGGATTGGCCATTTTTGGGAGATCAAAGGGGACTCCTATGTCATTTTGAAAGCTTGATTGGTTTTCATGCGAGAACCATGTTGGAACAGGCATATGACCGCAAAGTGCGCACACTAAACAGATACTTTCAGAGCGATGGTTGCGCAATCAGAGAAGCTGCAAATGAACTCTTTGCCAAGGCAAAGGAACAGTCAGAGCAGGATAATGTCAAGGCTTACTTACCTGTGGTGATTCTGTGCCTAATGAAGTTCTTCAGTGAGAAAGAAGAGAGTCTCTTTCTTGTTGTTGATGTAAGTTAACGATTTAGGGGAACCTCCATTTAGGAAAAAGTAGGAATATTTATCTGGCTAGTGTATGAATAGTGGCCTGCTTCAATCATTTCACTGAAACAATTGTAATTTATCTGTTCTTGGGACAGGACATTGTTGTGTGCAGGTCTTGATATTGATACATTTACTAGCCTTTTAAATCATTAAAGCAAACAGATCTATCTATGCCTTTTCAGGCCCCAAGTCTGCAGCAAATGTCGTTAAAAGTCCCCAGTTTGCAGCTTAAAAATCTCCATATAGGTTTGAAGAAAACAGTAGATCTACCTCAAAAGTTTTAAAATGGTGAATTCTTAAAATCCCAATTTTGATATAACATAACCCAGTTGTTTCCTACTTAATCTGCCATGGGCACTTAGTCAAAATTCCTGGCAAATATACTTCACAAAGTAATAAACATTTTAACAAATTTATTTAATCCACAGGCTACGAAGACTTCGACTGAGGTTGAAGAGGAGAACAGCATCAACTGGCCACGGATGGTGTTTCTTGGTAAAGTTGTGAAATCATTGCTTTTTTAACTGCCAGTGCTGTAAAACCTCCAAATTATCAGCTAATGCATTACCAGTGACTTAAATCTTAAAAAGCAAAATCATACTCCTCTCCTGTCCACTGAAACTCAGCACACACCAATGTTTTTTTAAGGGATTTTGATCGATTTTAAATATTATTGCCATGGTGGCCAGATTGATAAGCCACTTGGGGCCATTTGTCAGATCTTTTTGCAATGATTGGGCTGAAAATTGGTCTGTGAGTAGCTGGTAACTGTACCTAGTAACAAGACATTAGACTGGTTTTGTGAAATTTTGAAATTTGACCTTGATTTGACCTCGTAACTCAAACCACGCCAGTAATGTTATGTTAATATCATCTTCTCCAAAGACAGCCAAACTGAATATGACACATTTAAGATAGTTTAGTTTCTTGCAATTTATAAATTTACAATGTCGAAACTGTTAACATATTTTCAGTTTTATAATCATTTGCCTTAGCCATTGCCCAAATTTAACCAGATGTAACCTAGGTGAGCTGTTTTTCCAAGTTTTTCCTTGCAGTGATTGGTGGACAGTAAAGTACTTTTTTAGTCTAAATTAACTTGTCAACTCTTGTTCACAGGTGATTCATACCTAAATGCTGAGCAGTTTATGGTTCTAGTTGACGGAAGAGTTCTGGTGAAAAGAATGACCAGCTTCATCTCCAGCCTTGCTGTTTTGTTTGGGTCTTATTATGTTTTCAACATTCAGTATCCAGCAAGTGCTGTTGCAACGCTTGAGTTCATGCAGAGGTAAGCTAAATGTCAAGTCAGTAGATTATTTATCTCACCTCATATTCATCTTATGCTCAAATATTAATTGAGAGTAACTTTTTTCTTAAATTCCTTGTTTTAGTCTTTACCAGGATATGAACAATATTTAGAATGACACTGGGAAAGGATTGACACTTGGAGCAGGCTCAGCTGCCACAGAAAACTATTAAACACTGTAATGGTTCGCTCTCATCATGACTATACAATCACTGTGGACTGCAACCAATTTTTTTTGTATTTGTTCATGGTGTCCAGATTCAGTTTTCACATGGTTGCCAAGTTGGTCATATTAATGTCATTGGGGCCATATGAGATACAAGTTTATTGATTTTCAGAATATCCTTATAGCAGTATGTGTGTAGCCTTTATCATCATTTTAATTTGACACTGCCCAAACTGAATCAGATTATATGTAATTCAGATCAGCTGCAGTGCTCTTGGTACTATTTTTGTTATAGGAACATATTTCCTCTGTCCATGTTTCCTTCTTTCAATCCATCAAATTCTCAGTGGTGACAAGTTTTCTCAAAAACTAATGTAGTTATTCTACGCGCTCCTATGTTTAGTTAATAATAAATTCACTGTTATTAACTAGTTTATAAATATAAAAAATCCAAAGTGTTTGATAATAACTGCAGAGAGTTTAACTCAAAATACAAAAGTGCAGTGTTACTTCTAAATGTGGACAGCTGAACACAAAATGCAAAACTGCAATATTTGTTTCAGGTGCTTCTTTGAAATAAACCCCGACAAGGGATCCAAGGCAAACAAAAAGAAGAAGACTTCAGCAGTCAACCCCAGGGTGCTGAAACTAATCCACCAACTATCCAGTTTCGAATGGACTAATGGACTAATTCCTAGCTGTTAACTTGCTACTGACAGTTGTGAATTACTTTCAAACGAAAGCAGATGTTAGTTTGCTGTTCTTTGGTTTTTTTTGTCTGTGAATAGTTTCACCACCATTCTGTCTTTTGTATTTGAAGCTTTCTGACAGAGTACACTTCCCTTGTAAAGAGAGTTGTTAAAGACAGTTGTGAATTACTTTCAAACGAAAGCAGATGTTAGTTTGCTGTTCTTTGGTTTTTTTTGTCTGTGAATAGTTTCACCACCATTCTGTCTTTTGTATTTGAAGCTTTCTGACAGAGTACACTTCCCTTGTAAAGAGAGTTGTTAAAGACAGTTGTGAATAACTTTCAAACGAAAGCAGATGTTAGTTTGCTGTTCTTTGGTTTTTTTTGTCTGTGAATAGTTTCACCACCATTCTGTCTTTTGTATTTGAAGCTTTCTGACAGAGTACACTTCCCTTGTAAAGAGAGTTGGTAAAGACAGTTGTGAATTACTTTCAAACGAAAGCAGATGTTAGTTTGCTGTTCTTTGGTTTTTTTTGTCTGTGAATAGTTTCACCACCATTCTGTCTTTTGTATTTGAAGCTTTCTGACAGAGTACACTTCCCTTGTAAAGAGAGTTGTTAAAGACAGTTGTGAATTACTTTCAAACGAAAGCAGATGTTAGTTTGCTGTTCTTTGGGTTTTTTTTGTCTGTGAATAGTTTCACCACCATTCTGTCTTTTGTATTTGAAGCTTTCTGACAGAGTACACTTCCCTTGTAAAGAGAGTTGTTAAAGACAGTTGTGAATTACTTTCAAACGAAAGCAGATGTTAGTTTGCTGTTCTTTGGGTTTTTTTGTCTGTGAATAGTTTCACCACCATTCTGTCTTTTGTATTTGAAGCTTTCTGACAGAGTACACTTCCCTTGTAAAGAGAGTTGTTAAAGACAGTTGTGAATTACTTTCAAACGAAAGCAGATGTTAGTTTGCTGTTCTTTGGTTTTTTTTGTCTGTGAATAGTTTCACCACCATTCTGTCTTTTGTATTTGAAGCTTTCTGACAGAGTACACTTCCCTTGTAAAGAGAGTTGTTAAAGACAGTTGTGAATTACTTTCAAACGAAAGCAGATGTTAGTTTGCTGTTCTTTGGTTTTTTTTGTCTGTGAATAGTTTCACCACCATTCTGTCTTTTGTATTTGAAGCTTTCTGACAGAGTACACTTCCCTTGTAAAGAGAGTTGTTAAAGACAGTTGTGAATTACTTTCAAACGAAAGCAGATGTTAGTTTGCTGTTCTTTGGGTTTTTTTTGTCTGTGAATAGTTTCACCACCATTCTGTCTTTTGTATTTGAAGCTTTCTGACAGAGTACACTTCCCTTGTAAAGAGAGTTGTTAAAGACAGTTGTGAATTACTTTCAAACGAAAGCAGATGTTAGTTTGCTGTTCTTTGGGTTTTTTTTGTCTGTGAATAGTTTCACCACCATTCTGTCTTTTGTATTTGAAGCTTTCTGACAGAGTACACTTCCCTTGTAAAGAGAGTTGTTAAAGACAGTTGTGAATTACTTTCAAACGAAAGCAGATGTTAGTTTGCTGTACTTTTTTTTTCATCTGTGAAGGGTTTCACCACCATTCTAGAATTAGCCAAATGTTACTTTTCTTTTGTATTTGAAGGTGTCTAACAGCGTACACTCCTCTTGTAAAGAGTTGCTTGTTCATGACAGTTGTAAATTACATTTGAATGAAAGCAGATGTCAGTTTGCTGTACTTTTTTCATCTGTGAACAGTTTCACCACCATTCTAGAATTAGCCAAATGTTGCTTGTCTTTTGTATTTGAAGGTGTCTAACAGCGTACACTCCTATGACAGTTGTGAATTACATTTTAATGAAAGCAGATGTCAGTTTGCTGTACTTTTTTCATCTGTGAAGGGTTTCACCACCATTCTAGAATTAGCCAAATGTTACTTTTCTTTTGTATTTGAAGGTGTCTAACAGCGTACACTCCTCTTGTAAAGAGTTGCTTGTTCATGACAGTTGTAAATTACATTTTAATGAAAGCAGATGTTAGTTTGCTGTACTTTTTTTCATCTGTGAACAGTTTCACCACCATTCATCTTTTGTATTTGAAGCTGACTTACAGTGTATACAGTCAATTATTACCGAGTTGTTTATTAATTTCTGCTGAAAGAATTGGTTTGCTAGGATATTTTTTATGTGGATGGTTTCAGCTTTATTCTAAAATAAGAAAGATGAATAAGTGTGTATCCCAAACTGAAAAGTGTATAAGATAAGTCTGTTATCAGCAGTAAATTGTGTGTTCAGATTGTGTTTCACCCGCCATAAAATATTGGTTTGGGGATCAGACAAATACAACTAACACTGTAATAGAGCTGCAAAAATGTAAGTTGCATAATTTTCAATATGCACAATGTTTTGTAGTTAAGAAGAATGACTAGCCTTTAATTTCTGTACCTTGTACAACATATGTATTATCATATGAGACATTAAAGATTATCATTTTGTTCAGTTAGTTTCTTGTTTTTGTTTTAGGACATTGCTTGCTGAATCAGACTATGAATTCGTAAAGCTTCTGCTTATTATTTCTGTAAGCATGCAATTGTTGCATGATCATGGTTAAATGGTTATTGCTTAATTTTTGCTATTTACTTTATGATTATGATAACATTGAAGATACATTGTAAACTGTATATAAACCCTCCTGTGGGGTTCAAACTTAGGTTGGTGCAAGAACCAAGCTTTCACAGCTTTGCTACTGTATTGCAGTGACCTTATTTAAACTGTCAAATGAAATTTTGATGGTCAAAAAGGGTATAAAACCCAACAGTTATTATACCGTTAACAATTACGGATACCACCGTCAAAAGAACGGTAATGTACTGTTTGTATACTACGGTATACCGTTGGACTAACGGTAAATGTTTGGCAACCCAGCTGCCAGTCATTCTACCGTAAAAATAACGGGAATATTTTTACAGTGCAAACATGCTTTTTTAAGTGAAATGAGAAGTGGAAAAGTTTATTTTTGTGTTCAAAACACTTTTATTTTTCAGGATATCCAACACAAAATATGTTTCCAGGTTCCTACAAAATTTTCACCCACACCCTCCCCTACCCTTATATTAAATTGTCGGTCGCTTCCGGTTTCAGAGAACACGAAATGCAGGCTCAATGACGGGCGACCATGTCACTGACCGATTACATGCCCGTCTTTCTGAGAGGACGCATTGACCCTTCGTCCACTCAATCTCTCCTGCTGAAAGTATGCCAGTCGCCCCCGGCGGGTTGTCAATGGGGTCAGCGCCTCTGCGCGTTGTCCACGTGTGGAGTTCGGCTGTCTGTTCACCCGGTCTTCAGCTGCAAACAATCGGCCGTAACTTCTCGTAATCCCCGATAAGTTGAACCAACTCACGAAACGCGTGTGAGACAATTTGGCGGCGCGCAGAATTTGGGCAAACGTATTTGTGGCGAGGTTTACGCATGTTGTGCACGTGCAGGTCATGACGATGATATTGACAACGCTCCCGTGTTGCTCATAAGACTAAGGTCTGAACATAATCGAGTCTGGGCCAGATAGTCCAGTGATTTACATCATGAGCATCGATCCACGCAATTGGGATCGATGACAAGCATCAACCAAGTCAGCGAGCCTGACCACCCAATCCCGTTAGTCGCCTCTTAAAAGCATAGTCGCTTTTTACAGCCAGCATGGGCTGCTGAAGACTCTCTGAAAGTGGTTTGATAGAAGTTAATTACAAACAAATAAACATGTCAAAGGTAAGTAGAAGCATGGCCAAATCATACATTCCCAGGGTAGAGAATTGGCCAATAATGTCGTAAATTACATGGAGAAAGAATGTAAAATAAATCTCAAGCATTGTCAAAACCTAGCATTGCCACTGGTCAGTCTGCATCAAGGTAAAAGCGCTTCAGAGCAGAAGGTATCGCTCGTGACAAAGGAGTGAATCGCGAAATCGTCCAGTGATCAAATCCCAACTTGACGATAAGGACCAGTGCGGTTCGACAATTTATACACAATTCGTATGTAGTGCGAAAACAACTGCCAACTTTAGACAGTATCTGTGACATGATCAAAACTGATTTGATTTCTAGGGTTCTAGAGAAGCTTATAGTTATGTCTAAGCGATATCCAGCAAGTAATACTACGTTTACAGTATGCTGAAACCCCATAAACAATTAACATGGGATCAATTAAGGAGTGTGTCATTGTGTCAACTATCACCACGTCAAGGTCTCAACCTTCACAATCATTTGATGAATGGCATGACACGATTCATTATTGCTCCCTGGGGTAAATAAAAGTGTTCCATTTTTACAGCAAATAAAATCCCTTAATTGTCAGGTACCTCACATCAGCACGAATTATTATGTGCTATTGAACTCGCCACTAGAACTCCTTGTTAGCCGAGACAGGACACGCATATATCCATCGTTCTACTTGTCGCGGACCACCCGCTACCCCTTTCCTAACAATGGTACGCGCCAGTGGGTTGGCCTCATACATAGTCAGTCATGCGGGGTTAATCGTCAGGTCACAACTCAACTTATCAGCTTATTACCGGTTGTTATACTCACAAGTGACCATTATTGTCATGACATATATAACGGCGAATACTAATATATAAGAGCCATATATATTGTCGTGTTTGCGTAATAGTGATAGGTGAGAAGGGGTCACATACTATGTTCATGCTGCAGGCGACCCAGCTCGCCGTTCCTTTGCGCTTATATACCAGTAAATCAATCTTCTTTATCCAGAAAAAACAGAACGTGCTGATCATAAATTGACAACCATGGGGATGTGCATTTCGTAATAATAATAGTAGCACATGTCATGTAGTGCGTCCAGCCCTTAATTGACTTGTGAGACACTAAAATGTGTTTTTTGTTTAACGACGCACTCAGCAATATTCCAGCTTTATATGGCGGTCTGTAAATAATCGAGTCTTGACCAGACAATTCAGTGATTGACATCATGAGCATCGATCCACGCAATTGGGATACGATATCATGTATCAACCAAGTCGAGAGCCTGACTACCCGATCCCGTTAGTCGCCTCTTTCGACAAGCATGGGTTACTGAAGACCTATCCTAACCCGGATCACGGTTTACTAAAATGTATACACCTGTAGGATGCATTAAAATAGTAATTTAAAACAGTTTTAATGAGAAATACGTTATGACATTGTTTGCAGGTTTTAAAAAAATAAAAAAATAAAAGCTTCTGAAGGGTTGAAAATAAGGATTTTGAAGTTTAACATCAATATAATCAGTGGTGAAAAAAACAGGAACTCGTTATTGGTCATTAAAAAAAATAATATATATATATACCTCTATATTCTCTACTTACATATGGGGGGTATATATTTTAATTTACTGACGAACAACGAGTTCCTGTGAGAAAAAATCCCGAGGGCAAATAAAACTGCAGTGTGCGGCACGTGTTAACCATGCCTGTCTTCCCCTCGTGCGACGGAGTAGTTGTCACGTGCACGGGGGTAATGAGAAGCGTGCACGGTGGGACATTAACCATCCGTACCGCCGGTGCAGCACGCATGTCGGGTTTTTCACGGAAACTATAGGTCAAAAACGCTCGTGGTGCACGTGCGGTGTACAAACACCCGTGTTGTGAATGAAATCGCTGGGTGTCATGGCTGACTGTTCTACGAGCACTCGTACCGTTTGCCCATTTACAACTGACAGTCGTTTCTTTCCTGAACTTAATTTCTTGCTGATATTTTGCCCAAACCATTTTCAGGTATTATCTACAACTGTTGGAGCGTGTATTGATTGTTTGAGTATATGACACTGATTACTTTAGACACCAGTCAAATATTTTAGGCAAGGTTGCAAACATTCGATCTTCAGAGTTTTTGTTCCTTGTTTAACGCCGCACTCAGCAATGTTCCAGCTATTTGACGGCTGTTCGATCTTCTGGGAAGGAAGGTTATTAAATAACGAAGCCCCTGTTTTACTGAAAAAGTACATGTGCCGATATTGTAGGAAAAAAATAATATGTGTTTTCTTCTTGCAGACACGTGTCCTAAGATAACAGTTCGTTTTTTATGTACATAAAAAATAATGATTGAGCACCTGTTAATGTTTGAAAAGGTAATTGAGCTCCTAAACATTACAAAATTATGCTGGTCTCAACCCCCAAATTCCACCCCCTACCCCCGAAACTGTCATGGTTGCTCCCTCATCGTGAAGGCGTGTCACTTTTTAAACAAAATATTCATGGAGTCCCCCACCACAAAACTCACCCCGAAAGCATTTTGCAGGTGAATATATTTGCCCTGACATTCTTCTCATACCTGTTGACATGCAAGCACAATACCTGCGAGATAAACAACAATACGTGATTTTAATCCCTTCCTACCACAGGCCTTCCTTGTCGCCTCCTCTGTGGCCACCGCGCACATTCTTTCAACATACGTGCGTAAAGTGCGTCGTTCCTGGGCAGGGGCCGGTCTCACAAAGCGACAGTAGCACTACGTCTGTCTTAAGTTCCTGTCTCCCAGACCCATGAGATTAAATTTAAAAACGAATTCAACTCAAGTCTAGAATGATAAAGAAAATCTAGATTACCTCAGCTCCCTGGAACTTATCATTGTCTGGGTTCCTTTGAAATTTACGCTTTATATTAATAATAATGATATTTATAATTCGCCAATCCACACCCTAAAGCATGCTCAAAGGGCTGCATTATTACCCTGGTGAATGGATCAGTGTGTACTCGATTTTCATTGTTATCTCCCTTTGGATATTAAACAACCCAAGCTGCGGTCACATTACCATCTCATCCTACCGGGTACCCATTCACTGCTTGGTGAACATACGCACATTTCGAACAAGGTCACTTGCCTAAGGAGACACCACAT